GTGTGTGTGTGTGTGTGTGTGTGTGTGTGTGTGTGTGTGTGTGTGTGTGTGAGGGGAGTAGGTAGACAGCTTTCCTCACTGACCTAATTTCTCAGTCTGGCGTTCCCAGAGGAACGCAGCATCTCTTCCTCCTCCTCCTCTTCCTCTCTGTCTCAAGAGAGGAGCAGAGGAGAATCAAAAAGGAGAAGCAGGCGGTGCTGTGGTTCTCACAGGGAAATGGGTTGGAAAAAATAAAACAGCAACACAGAACAACTAAACGTTTTCATCTTCAGCTACGCATTTTGTTGTTCTGCTGATTCATTTGGTGCCATGTGGCTCTAAAACACATCACCATGAATCCAAACCAGTACAAGCACAATGAGGTGGTTTCTACATGGCATCAATAATGTTTTTAGACACTTTTCATTAAAAGTGATCGTTCAGACCCATTCCTCTGCAGATCTGTGAAAATGTTATGAAAACCTAGAGAATTTGCATTTCCCGTGAAGATGCAGTGTGACTGCTTAATGATAAGAATCTTGCAAAAGGAGCTGAAGTCAAGCTGAAAATATGTAATAGCAAAACTGTTAACATGAGTTCARTTCGAACAGCTAATTTTTGCTGAAAGTAAGAAGACAAAATTGAAATCAGAAGTAAAAAAGCAAAAATCTGTCAAAAAATCTAAACAGAGAAGAAATGTAGACAAAATTAGCAGAAAATTGCAAAAATTAGCACAAAAGTAGCCAAACAATTTAAAAACATGTTGAATCTACCAGAAAGAATGTGAATTTATGAACAACAACAACAAAAAAAAAGAATAAAGCTGAAATTGAGACAAAAAAGCAAAGCAAGAAGAAAAGAGGCTAACCTCTGACCTTGACTTTTTATTTTGTGACCTTGAAATTAATAGGGGTCATCATTCGGACAGAAACGAAGCTCGGTTCTGACTGCTTCGATGAGCTAAAGGCTAGTTTGAACACAACCAAAGGAAATTGCTACCAGATTAAAATTAATTTTAATCTAAAAGCTT